TGGGCCCCGTCGGCGTTCAGTGGGCGATCGGGGGTCGATGCCTGTCCAGCGGAGCTTCCATGAACACCACCGCGCCTGGGTCTGGCGCGACATGGCATGGCGGCCTCACGCGGTGGCTTGCGCGGGCCGCCAGCGCGGCACGCTACGTTGGAGACGGCGGCGCTTACGCGCGACCTTACGTGGGCAGCTTACGCGCCAATGTCGGTGGAGAAGAATCAGTTTCACTTTGTTGCTCAAATCGGGTCCGAATAAGTGGCACCACGGTGTACACGCCCTCCTGGCCGAAGCAAGGAGGAGCTATGCGCAATCCTGGGGCCCAGGATGTCCCTGGCCAGGCGCGGTGGTGGTTTACCAGCCTTCTGCGGAGATTCCCCCAGAACTAGAGGCCCCCTATTGGGACCCGAACAGATGGGGTCGGAGGATGGCGCCATATCGCCGATGCGTCAGCGATGACGCATCGGCGTGGAGAATGTCGGGCTCCACATCGAACCGCATCGCTTATGCATTGGCGATGAGGCGCAATCCTCCGAACCCATCTACTCCGAACCCCTATTGGAAGCCTAAACCCTGATCTGGGGTCGGGACAGAGGACGTTCTACGGAAGAAAAGGGTTCCAAGCTTTCAAGCGAAAAGGAGTTCGGGGCTTCAAGTTTCCGCACGTGTTCGACGTTTCCGAGGTCGGGGAAAAAAAGCGGTACTGCGCCACCAGGAAGCATGCCCCCAAATCCGAGAATGACAGCGGATGTTGATGTTCCCCCGCCCTCGGAAGCAGGAACCGACATGGGTGCGGAAAAATGGTTCGATGCCCAACCATGGAGGCTGCCCACTGGGCACGAGGCCTTCTGTTTCAAATGGGCAACGTCTGCGGCGGCGCGGACAGCGAGTCCTGTTCAACACGAACGGGAACTGGTGCTGGGCATTGTAGCCATTCTGTCCGTGTCAACTCCGTTCTGACTACCTACCAGACCACACCAACCCAACCCGAAGACCCGAATTTCGGGTTGGGGGGGGGGTAAGGGTTCCGCATGTGTTTTTGTCGATGTTTCCCGACCCCCCCCCACTGGAAATCGAGGGTAAATCTTAGCCTTCGGGTTGGGTTGGGGTGGTTTGGTGGGTGGTGACGTTCGTCTCCACGCCCCACCGCTCCCGAGGGCGTCCTCCGATACCCCAGGGCCCGAGTCCAGAGCGGTGGACCTGGGGACAGAATGGGCTCGAGGCCGTCGGCCGAAAAAAGGGGTTTGGGGTCTGAGGTGGTCGGCCGTGTTCGTCGATCCTCTCGCCATCGCTCGGACGTCCACTCCCTGCGTTTTTTTTCGGTTTCGTGCGCGGTTGTTTCGCCAAATGATCAAGGATGTGACTACCTACCAGACCACCCCAACCCAACCCGAAGACCCGAATTTCGGGTTGGGGGGGGTAAGGGTTCCGCATGTGTTTTTGTCGATGTTTCCCGACCCCCCCCCCACTGGAAGTTGAGGGTAAATCCGAGCCTTCGGGTTGGGTTGGGGTGGTTTGGTGGGTGGTGAGGAGGCTCCTCGATGGTCCTCGCCCTCGCCGAGACAAAAATGCACACGTCCGAGCGACGCCAGGCGATGCTCGGCGGCCTTCCGGCCTCGGGGTGTTCTCGGGCGGCTGCGCCTCGCCGAGGGCGTCCCGCGGGGGTGCCCGCATCCGCTCGAAGGAGCGCCCGGCCCACCGACGCAGGCCAGGTAAAATGCTCGAAAGTGGGTCAAGTACCAGGGCTGAATGGGCCCTGCAAACGACAGGGCCGTTTTGTTACCGGTTCCATTTTGCCGTTTTTTGCCGGTTCCGACGCCGTTCTTTTACAGGTTCCGTCGCCGTTGTTTGACCGGATCCGGCTCCAGTTCCAGTCCTGGGGCCGTTTTTTTGCCGTTTCGGGTCGCCGTTTTTTTGCCGTTTCAATTTTCAGGGGACATTTTTGGGGAAACGGTGAAAAAACGGCCCTGCCGTTTCCGGGGCCCACAAAGTACCAGGGCCCCCCCCTGCAAAAACTATAAGGAGGGGGTCAGACTTATGTTGTTCCCATCGTCCTTAAGGACCACATCCCAGAAATCATTTCGAGCAACCGGAAAAGTGTCGAAAGAGCGTCGAAACAGTGTCGAGACAGTGTCGGACAAGTGTCCCCCGGGGCCTGGCACGCGAAAAACCCTCGAGCTTCGGTATTTTTGATTGTGCTCGGAATTCTGTCTGGCGATCAAGGCTAAAGTAGATTGGAACACCATAAGGTCAGACACCAGGTGGCCGAACCACCCCGGCGCCAGGCGCTGGCTCTGATAGAACGCTACCAGGGCTCCCTTGATTTCTCTCAAAATCGCACTAGCGTGCTCTATCATACTCGAATATGCATTGCTCTTGTCTACGCTACTCTTCTCTACTATACTCACCTCTACTCGATTATACTTTCTAACTCCCCTACTCTACTCTACTCTACTCTACTCTACTCTGCCCTACCCGACTCTCCTCTGCCGTGCCCTACTCTACACTAGTGTACCCTACCGTACTCTAATCGACTCTGTTACTCTTCCTCTGTAGTCCTTCTCTATTATACCCTGCTCAACTCTATTCCGCTCCGCTCTACTCTACTGCATTTTGTTATACTCTATTCGACTGTTCTCTACTCGACTCTATTCGACGCTACCCTCGTGTGATACTGCAGCTTACACTTAGTTCCCTACGCTCCTCTATCCTGCCCTGCCCTATTCTGGACGAATTTACCAGATCACACCCAATTCGATTCGACTACTCTACCCAGTCGACTCTTCTCTCTTCCAATTATCCTCTACTGTACGCCTACTCTACTCTGCTCGTGGTCGTGGTCGTGGCCGTGGCCGTGGTCGTCGTCGTCGTCGTCGTCCACGTAGTCTTCGCAGTCGTCTTCGTTTTAGTCGTCGGCGTCGTCGACGTCGTCATAGTCCACGTCGGCGTCGGCATTGTCGTCGTCGTTGTCGTCGTGCGTCGTGCGTCGTACGTCGTGCGTCGTGTGCTGCGTCGTGTGCCGTGCGTCGTCCGTCATCGTCGTCGTCGTCATCAACGTCATCGTCGTCGTCGTCGTCCGCATCGTCCGCGTCGTTTGCTAGCGGCGGCAACGTGCGTCGTTTGCTGGCGGCGGCGTCGTCGTCGTTGTCGTCGTCGTTGCCCGGGGGGAACGGGGGAGAAGGGGGGGGTGGAGGGTCAGGGGAGGGGTTGGTGAACCCCCCGAATAATTTTCAAAGGGGGGGGTGTTCTGGCCCCCTTTCCTCCGGACACGACGACGACGACGTACGACGCCGACGCACGACGACAACGACGACGGCAACGCCGACGCCGACGTGGACGATGATGGCGCCGACGACGCCGACGACAAAAACGACGACGATTCCGAAGTCGACGTGGACGACGACGACGACGACGACGACGACGACGACGACGACGACGCTCACGACGACGCCAACGACGGCGAGGGAGCCCGAATCCTTCGAGAGAGAGCGCGATCCACCGTCGCCAGCCGGAAAAAAACGTCTCCCTGGGGGCGTCGGGAAGCGGGGCGCGCCTCCCCTTTGAAAGGCTCTGCGCGCCGACGCCGACTCCCAGGGCCTCTGCCCCCTCCCTCGTCTACGGCGGGAACCTTGGATACAGTCGGCGCGTTGACCTAAGGAACCCTAAATAAGGAATGGGGCCCCTTTTTTCCATAAGTTAAACGTCGATTCCCCATCGAAAACCTTAGGACAGCCTACGGCAAGCTGCGAAACAATTACGGAACACGGAGCCCCTCCCCCACGAAACAGGTTTCCTTGTTCAGCGCCCCGACTGTAAGGAAGTCAGTGGAACTCCAATTGTGCGCCTACACCAAAGGCATTGGATAAAGGAACCGGTGGAACTCCTATTTCGCGTCTCTGGCGAGCCCTTGGCGGGATGAGGATTCCAGGGTCTGGAAGCCAGTGGAACTCCAATTGTGGATCGGCCATGGGTGCCGCCGCCGCCCTCATCAGATGAGGAATCCCCCAGGGTCTGAAGGCTCTTGGGCGCATGTCTTCACCAACGCCCCCTCCTCTTTGAACTTCTTATGCATAGCGCATTCAATGTTGTTCAAACACACCAGATTCCTGAGACCGCGGCCTCGCTCGCCTGGTCTTAGCTAGGCCCGGGCCGAGTCCACAGCGGTGGTCGCATCGCATCGCATCGCATCCTGAGGGGGTCAGGAACCCCCTCCTGGTAAAATTACTCGGGGGGTCCAGAACTCTCCTCCCCCTGGGCGACGACGACGACGACAACAGCGACGACGACAGCCTCGACGCCCTCGACGGCGACAACATCAGCGGCGGCGGCGGCGGCGGCGCACCTTGACCAGCGCCCGCGCCAGGCGCCAGATCTGATATAATGCTACTATGGGTAGCTCAAGATCTGTCAGAATCGTACTTGGGCCCTAATACACTCTACCCTGGTCTACAACACCCTGCTCTACTCTACCATACTCTGCTCTGGTCTACTCTGCGCTGCTCTACTCTACCCTGTTCCACTCTACCCTACCCTGGCGTATCCTGACATGTTATACTCCACCCTACTTTGCTCCTACTCTATTATACTGTTTTAGAATTACATGTTACTGGACTCAACTCTGCTCTACTCTACTCTGCCCTACTCAATTTCTGCTATGCTCTACTACCCTGTCGATTGTTGTCTACTCGATGCGAGTCTACTCTAATGTGATACTACATCTCCGTACTGGAATCTGGATTATTATACTCTACTCTACTATACTATACCCTACCCCTCTACTCCTATGGTACTGTACTCTACGCCTACTCTACCAGGCTCGCCGTCGTCGTCATCGTAGTCGCCGTCGTTGTCGTGGTGGCGTTGTCGTCGGCGTCGTCGGCGGCGTCGGCGTCGGCGTCGGCGTCGGCGGCTGCGGCGGCCTCCTTGCCCCTCCTCGCCCCTCCTCGCCCGCGCCTCCGCCGCCTCCAGCCAGCCGAGCACGCCCCGGCGCGCGGCGGCGCGCGTGCGCCGCCGCACGCGTGCCGCCGCGGCGGCCGCGCGCCGCTCCGCCTCGGCCGCGCTCGCGCCGGGCCAGCCCCGGCCGTCGCACCACCTCGCGTCACGCAAAGGGGGCACGATCGAGCTGCCTGCGAGCATGGTGGGGGATGGGGACGGCGAACAGGGCGAGGAGGGAGGAGGAGCGAGCGAGCGAGCGAGGGAGCCAGCATGCGTCCAGGTGGGTCACGCGGACGCCGCTGAAAAGAGAGGGTGGCCGCAGTGGCGCCCAAAGGACAGGCACCTCCCACAGATACGGTGCCACACCCAACTCAAGGAGACTGGCAGGCGGCCTGTCCGCCACCGGGCCCTTCAGCACGGAGTGCGCGCGCTCTCGGGTTCTATCCCCCATGCTCGAAGCCTCAGCCCTCGCTCCTGAGGAGTCCCTCGCGGGCCCGGAACCCACCTTGCCAAATGTTGAGTTTGGCGCAGGCCCACTGGGGTTCCCAGCATCACCCGCGCAATTCTGGGGGGCCAAAAAAAAGGCCCCTAAAACGGGCCAGAAGTACTAGGGAAACGGGTCCCTTGGAACTCCCCTCTCGCCGCGCGATCACAAAGGGGGTGACGCGAGGGGAGGGTCCTTCGGAAAAACCTAGGGAGCCCCTTAGAAAGCAGAGTGTTTTTCACTCTGAAGCCATCCTGGCCTCTGAGAGACTTTCGGTCTGGATAAACAATTCCGTCTACTGGTTATCGATCGCCTCGAGTAGGTCCAACAAGTCCCGTTCGCCAATGCCCATCGGAAGACGGCACAATAGGGGTAGAACACCACTGTTGGACGGATCGAAAAGGAGTGTTGCAAACAAGGGGATGCTGGGAGGCCAAGGCGGGGCCTCAGAAATCAATCGATCGATATGGACAAACGTGTAATGAGCCGGCGTTGCCGCCGAGGCTCGCTACGCGTCCTGTCCACGATCATTTGTCCAGTGCGATGCCAAATCCTACGCCAGGGTGAAACATCACGGCGAAACTTGGCCTGAAGCTGCTATCCCGCTTCGTGGGATTGTTAACCTGGACTGCAAAATGCATTGCAGACCATCCCTGGAGGCGGCGTTGCCGCTGAGCCTGCAGGGATCTCGAGACAGATGGCGGTGCAAGCTATCGCGTCTAGGGGTCACCCCGTTCGACCTCGGCAGGTCGTAAAACTGCTTCGGCCTGAGCAGGTCGCAAAACTTCTTCGACCTGGGCAGGTCGCAAAAATGCTTCGACCTGAGCAGGTCGTAAAACTGCTTCGACCTGAGCAAATCGTACGACTGCGTCGACCTCAGCAAGTCCTGGCGGCCGGGACTTGCACTGAAATATCCCGGGGTCCAGCAGCCAGGACTTGAACCAAAGTTTCTGGGGCTCTGGCGGCAAGGACTTGCACTAAACTTTCCTGGGTGTCCGGCGGCCAGGACTTGCGCTAAAGTTTCTGGGGGTCCGGCGGCCAGGAATTGCACAGCAGTTTCTGGGCCCTGGAGCTAACAAGTGACCGCTTCCCCCGCTCCAACCTTCGCTAGTCCACAGCCACTGTCGCACGGGTTGAGCGTCCAGACCGACACGCTTACACTCAACATGCAGAAACATATGTTCAAAACGGTGTGAGAGTTAAAAACTGAAACTACATATTCAGAAATGTGGCGACGGCGGATTGCCTGGGGAGAACTTACTGGGACGGACGTGGCCGTTTCTCCACACGTGTGAGAAGCCTCGCACTTGGTGCATTACCAATCTCAACCACCATTACTGGCGACGCGTTTCGGACTCTAGGTCCTCTTCTGGGCCAAAGGCTGCGGTGTCCCACGCGCGTGCCGTGCAGCGCGCGAGCAAGGCAGCAAGAAGTCAAGAGTGCGGGGGCGAAAAAACCCGGCTGCCCACCCACCCAACGCAATGGATATGTGATACGCCTATTATCTCGGGCCTTGGGGGGCCTGACCATGGAGGAGGAGGAGGAGAAGGAGGAGGAGCATGAGGAGGAGGAGCAGGAGGAGGAGGAGGAGGAGGAGCAGGAAGAAAAAACCTGGCTGCCCACCCACCCTACCCAGGCCTCCGGTGCCGCCCGAGAAGGCCCCCAGCTTCTGAGATCTGAGGAGCACCCCGCCGTCTATACCAAAGGCCGCGCCCCTCGCGGCACCTTGTGCGCGCCGCCAATGCTTCCCTCGCCGTTCTCGGACTGCCCGAGCCCTCCCTGGGGCCGTCAAAAGACAATGGGACGTACAGAGACATGCTAAGACTATATGCAATGATGTCCTCCTTGGAGGCGCGCGTCCGACCCGAACATACAGTACACCCATCTTGCAGTACATCCCTTCCCGAGCGGGGCTGCCAGAAAGCGCCCGCCACGACGCATGTACTAGTAGATTTCTCGGTGTTCGCGTCGTCCCGGGGAGGGGGGGGGGTGGGCGACGCACATATACAGTCGGGGCGTTGACCTAAGGAACCCTAAACAAGGAACGAGGCCCCCTTTTTCCATAAGTTAAACTTTGATTTCCCATCGAAAACCAAAGGAAAGCCCGAGGCAAGCTGCGAAACACTTAAGGAACGCGGAGCCCCTCCCCAACGAAAAGGGTTCCTTCTTCAGGGCCCCGACTGTAAGTGTGTTGGGGTGGCGCCGAGACGAGGACCAAGATGGAGAGCTGGCCCCTCCTGAGGGGAGTAGCCCTTGGGGGTCCAGGATCCGCTCCCCTCGCAGGGCACCTCTTCTTGAAGGGGCCCCAGGACACACACAAATAAACACACACACACACACAAATAAGAAGATCCCCCATATTTCCCCATATTTTCTGGGTTGTTGTCTTCCCCCCCACTTCCTATAGTTTCCCATCTTTTCCTGGGACTCGACGGTTACTTGTGTCTGTGTGTGTTTTTTCCCTCTTGACTTCTGTTCACCGCGAGCCACCACAGGTAGCGGTTCGCCCACCCGGCCACGGCCCCAGGGCCCCCCTGCCTGGAAGGAAGAAGGCGGCAGAAACACACAATCTTTCGGAGGACCGCGCGTATCTCTTGGAGGGGCGCCGGGCCGAGGGAGAACGATAGGCGGGAACCCGCTCAGGCGGGGAAACATCCATCTGCAATCGGCGATACATCGCAAATAGATCGGCGGTAGGCTCCCGATAACGAAACCACACGGTCCTGGGCGGGGTGGGCCATCGGGTCGCTATCGGCGATGCATGGGCGATTCGGGGGCGATGCGTCCCCAAGTGGCCCATCCCCCAGAAAGGTGCCCCCGATGTGCCTCCCTGGCAACGCCTCCAGCGTCGCCCCAGGCGCGCTCCACGCGCAGATCTACGAGATCTGCGCGGACCTCCGAGCGGCTGTGCTCATGCCCCGCTTTCTCCCTCGACTGCCGGGGCGCGGGGCAGCGCGAGGGCCGGGTGATGGCGCGGGCCCCGAGGTCCAGGACCAGCAGCGCCCACTCCCCGCGCGCCTCCAGGCGGCTTGGAGAGAGGAGGCACACCTCGGAGAGCAGAAAACAGGGACAGCGTCAATGTCACGCCGCTCGGACGGCCCCCATGGAGGGCCCCGAGTCGCCGAACGATCGCCACAAGACGCCCATGATGTCCCCAAGACGGCCCCAAGGGCCTCCAAGATACCCTCAGCTGCCTTGGTGAAACGTACAATTTTAGCATATTCGCCGCTCGGGCCTTCAGAACGTCGCAAACGCCCCAAAAGAGCCCCAAAACGGCCCAAGAAGCCGCCAAGAGGACCCCAAGACGGCCCAAAAAGGGCCCAAGATGGCCCAAGAGGCCCCCGCAAAACCCCAACAAGGCCAGAGGACGGGCCCAAGGGGCGCCTGAGAGGGCGCCAAGGACGACGGGCGAAGCGCCAAAGTCCGCCTAAGAAGCCTCCAGCAGGCTCCCAGAGGCCCCCAAGAGGCCTGAAGAGGCCCCAAGACGCTTCCAACTGGCCCCGAAGAGGCCCCTGAAGCCCCCCAAACGCCCCCACATGTTTGAAAAAATGCACCCGGAACGCCTTTGAGAGGCCGCCAAGCTGCCTCCAAGACTCCCCCCTGGAGCCCAAAACCGGCCCCGATTCTTCCACAACGCTTTCGCCTGTACGCAAGCGCTGCGATACAAAAGGTTCATTCACGCTTTCACATATTCTCCCGTTTTCGGTGTCCTTCACATCCATGATCTCACAAGGGCCCGCAGAGGACCGCGCGAAGGCTTCCCAACAACCGCCGTACATCTCCAACAACCGCCGAAATATCCTCATCCTCGTCATGCTCATCCGTTTTCCCCCTGTTGCACTTCCCGTTTCCTCCTGCTCCTCTTCGTCCTCAGCATCCTGCTACTCCTGCCCCTCCCCCCTCTGCCCCCCTCGACCTCATCATGATCATCCTCCTCCTCATCTAGATCATCATCAGCAACATCATCATCAGCATCGTCATCATCATCATCAACATCATCATTATCCTCATCATCCTACTCCGCTGCCTCCATTCACAGTCCTCATGATCATCCTCACCGCTCGCCGTCGTCGCCAATCATGACCGCCATCGCGCGCTTCCAGCAGCAACGGAAACGTCCCGGATCGGCGGCACTGGCCGGAGGCCACTACAATATCAATGTCACGCCGCTCGGACGGCCCCATCGATCAGAATGTCACCGTTGGAAAAGCACCAGGAGTTTCTACAGTCGACCCGTATCCTAAGGACGCGCGATGTGGATGCCAGGGCCTTGGAACGCCGTTCCGAAGCTTTTCGAGCGGGGCGCGGCCAACAAAAGTTGCCAAGGATGGACCGAGGAGGCAAGGATTTGGCGGCGCGCACAGGGGGGCAGGGGACGGGAGGAAGGCTTCTTAGAAAAAGCCCTGCAGGCGCGGGCCTTGTCTGCAGATGCAAGGCCAGCGCCTTCTTAGAAGCAGCCTCCTTCTAAGAAGCCTTCCCCCCCTCCCCCCACACCCCCCTGCGCTCCGCCAGAGGATGCAGGGGTGCCCTTGGGAAGAGTGCCCGTCCTTGCCTGTGCGGGCTGACTGCACAGCCACAGGCGGCCGAGCAGCACGCCCAGCTTCCGAAGGACGACGCGCGCGCCACGGAGGCACGTTTTCGGGGATCTTCTGACCCAGGTCAATCCAGACCCGGGTCAGCCAGGCCTTGCAAAATCCTGCAAGATCCTGCCAGACCCTGCACCCAAACCCGGGCCAACGCGAAGGATCCTGCAAGATCCTGCAGGATCCTGTACCCAAACCCGGGTCAATGGGAGCCTGGCCCTGCAGGATCCTGCAAGATCTGGCGCTCTGGCTGACCCCCGTCTCAAGGCTCCCGACGCTTCACCCCCCCGGACCGGGCCGGGCGAAACGGAGGGATAGCAAAGGGGGGGTTTGAGCGTCAGCTCACGTAGCCGATTTTCCCGGCGCCTCCCGGCGCCGGAGGCGGCGATGTATCGAGGAATGGGCCCCTCGGTGGGGCCGAAACCAGCTGCACGCAGCAGATTTCGTACCCCCCCCCTTTCCCAATCCCCCCCTTTCGTCCGGCCCGAACGGAGGCACGCTTCACCCCCCCCCCCACGGCACACCGGCACGCCGAGGCCCAGGAGCGCCGGGAGGGCCGCGAGCCAGGGGCCCGCGACCGGCTCCATGCAGGTTCCGAGGCCCGAGGTTCGGGCGGCGCCCGCCGGCCACCGCACCGATGCCGGCCAGCCCGGCCCCGCGGGAGCCAGCAGAGGCGACACGCGACCCCACCCAGGCGAGGAGGTGCGAGGAGCGAGGGGGGTCTCCCTGGCGGTGTGGCCCCCCCCCCTCTCTCCCTCGAGGCGTCCCCGGCCTCCGGCTCGGGGGGGGGCGCCGGGGACCTCCTCGCTGGAGGTGGCAGTGGCCCCCCTGGTGGTGCTGGTGTGGCATCTCCTCCCTCCAGCCCTGGGACTGGGGTCGTCGTCGTGCCCGGCCCTCCGCCGAAGAGATCCTGCCTGCTCTCCCGCCCGCGGCCCAAGAGGCGCCGACCCCTTCGGAAGGGCAAGCTTGTCGTCCTGGATCCAACGTTGGCTGGTCCCGGGCCGGGGCCCGACAGCGGGCCGCAACGCGTCGCCGGAGCGCTGGGCACACGCCTCCCTGGCCGAGACACGAGGAGGAAGGGGAGGAGGAGGAGGAGGAGGAGGAGGAGGAGGAGGAGGAGGAGGAGGAGGAGGAGGAGGAGGAGGGTGGCCACGCCGACCCCGGGCAGCGAGCATCGAGTCGGCACACAGGGTCGAAGCGAAGTGTGCATTGGATCGGGCTGCAGCAGCACGGCGACCAGATCGGATCGGGTCGGCTCCGCCAGGATGCACCACGGCGCCAGGCAAGCATGGGCCCGCATCGCATCGCTGGGGAATCGGCATCGAAGCGGTGGGCCGGTGTCGAACCGGATCGATCGAATCGAAATGGGCCCCGGGTGGGCCTGGCCAGCATCGGCGAGGTTCGGGGGCGTCCACGAGGAGGGCCTCCAAGAGGGGGGGGGCGCAAATCATGGCCGGCGGCATGTGCACGGCCCAGAGGGGGGCCAGGGACGCATTGAAACAAGAAGAGACGCCAGGAAATCTGCGGAGATATTATGGCCCCCGCCATGATATTCACCCCCCCTAGTCATCACCCCCCTCTTTAGAAGAAGGAAAAACGCCATAAGCAGAAACTTTTGGCGCTCCGCGCAGATTTCTTGGATCTGCGCTGACCCCCCTCCCTGGCGCGCGGAGCGTGCCAGGGGCGGCGCCGGAGGCGCTGCAGGGGGGGGCCAGCGCGGATCCAAGAAACCCGCGCGGAGCGCCAAAAGCTTGTGATTATGCCTTTTCCCTTCTCTGATCTTGGCCGCCCCCGACGAGGTGGCCAGCCGTGCGAGGCGGGGATTTATCCGCATCCACCGCCTGGGAACCGACGTCCTGGTGCCCCAGCGGGCCGTGGATATGGATCTGTTTTGGCCCCTGAGGGCCCGAATATGTCCATATCCACCGCCTGTGGAGGTCCGCGAGGATCGATCCCCTAGGCAATGGATACAGTCGAGGCGTTGACCTAAGGAACCCTAAATAAGGAACGAGGCCCCTTTTTCACATCAACCTCGATTCCCCACGGAAAACCTCAGGAAAACCCGAGGCAAACTCTGCAACAAGCAAGGAACACCGAGCCCCTCCCCAACAAAAAGGGTTCCTTCTTCAGCGCCCCGACTGTATGGATAAACCCCAGCCTCGGAGAGGTTTGGGCGCCCGAGTTATCCGGGGTAACTCGGGTCCGGGGTAACTCGGGTTCGGATTCCCGAAAAACGAACCCGAGTTAACCCTGACCCGAGTTACCCCTGATGATTCGGGGCTCTGAGAGGTGGCCGGCCGACGCCGCCCGAGAGTTGAAGCACAGGACGCGCGCGGGGCGCCCCGGGGCCGCGCCCGCGGCCGGGCCGGCGCCCGCCAGCGCGGCGACCGCGGCCTGCACGGTGCCGGCGAAGCTCCCGACGCGCACGCGGCCCTCCACGTGGTAGGCGCCATCGGTCCGCGCCGGGGCTTTCTTTCGCAGAAGGCATCTATACACCACCGCCGTGCCAAGGCGGTGGTGTATAGATGCCTTCGTCGGATTTCTGCCCACGCGTCCACCCCAGAGCTCCCCGCGCTGTGGAAAATCGCGACGGGGGGTCTTTCAATGACTGAAGGGGCCCTGGGACACACAAGTAAATACACACAGTTTTCCCACATGTTCTAGGTGTTTGTTTTCCCCCCCACTTCCCATCTATTACCATATTTTCTGGGGAATCGGCGATTCATTGTGTCTGTGTGTTTTTTCCCCTCCTGAATCACGACGGAAGGTTTTTCAATACTTTCGGCCTCCAGGGGCCCTCACTCAGCCTCGGGCCCGTCAAAAAACGGCTCAGGATGAAAAGCCGGTCCCCAGGAGGGGGCCAGACCTCTGGGAGTCGACGGTGTGAATGACGTCGGAGGTCTGCGACCGTTTCTGGAGGCGTGCTCCCCCCCCCAAGGGGCGTTGGGTGTGGGCACCTTCCTGCCCTCGGATGCGGGGGCGGGAGGGTATCCACAGCCAGCGCTCGGCGGGATCCTTGGTGGCACGTCTCCGCAACACGTCCGACGACGTGATTTCTCCCCTCCGCACCCCCAAGGTCCTGACCACTTCCCACGGGCCAGACTGCTTTCCCAGATCCGAGCATGGACCCCAGAGGCCATCACCCAGGCACATCGCCAGGATTAAAGAAAAACGTGCCGTCGGGCATCTGGGTATCGGTGGGTGTGGGAAAACGCCCGGCACGGAATCGGTCCTGTCCATCTCGGGCCCCACAAGCCAAACGGCAGTGGGAAGGCCACCTGGGTTGGCGGCCAGGATCTCGAAGCCGCCGGCTCGGGCCTCGCTGCCCTCGACGTCCTCTCGTGCGCCCGCCAGCCAGACGCCCTCGACCGCGCCAGGCTCCTGGGCCTCGACGGAACCTGATGCCCACACCGAGATCCGAAGGCCTGATTTTCATCCGTCCCGGCATTCTTCCTCGACTTCGGCCTCCGGGGGCCCGCCGTCGGGCCCCAGGACCATCCAGAACAAGTTTTGGTGCGAAAAACGGTCCCCCATGGCAGTGGTCGAAACCTCTGCGGCGCGGACTGCAACAAAAACGAAGCACCGTCGGAGGTCGGGGTCGGCAGGCGTCCACTGCCGGCCGCGGGCTGGGGCCAAACCAGCAACGAGTGGCCTTATGGTGCGCAGCTTCCAAACTCCGGGGGGCGGGCCAGAGCCTGGGCCCCCGCCAACCAAAGTACCGCTCCGACGAGAGGTCTGTCGCGCGTGCAATTTGAAACCGTCCGCCTCGCCGATCGTGGCAGAACCACCCCTGGGCCCAGGATGGGCCCGGCCAGGATCGCCAGGATCCGCTCGGAGTCGGTCCGACCAGACGGCCGCCCAAATCGACTTCCGACCGCCCCGAGGGAACTCGAGAGACCTCGAGCCTCAGTGGTCGAGTTTCGATCGGTGCAGTGGATAGTTGGCTTCCCTTGACGTGGCGGGCCGCCTTGGCAGCTCAGCTGCGACAGAGCGAACGCAGCGGCGCGCGCCACGCAGCCTGCCGCGGCCATCGCGCCACGGCGCGCGCTGGCGCGCCGCTTGAGAAGCTGTGGGAAGGGGCACAGTTGTCAGCCCTCTGGGCGGAGGCGGTCTAACGCGATTCCTCTGCCAACGACATTATTCCCCCTCGGGAGGGGGCTCACGCTTCTCCCGACTCCATGCCGGAAGGAGGTCCCCGTCGCATAGCCATGCCCAAAGGCATTTGTATGCCGTTCGGGGTGGGTGTGGTATCTTCGATCAGCCGCGACAGCGGTGCGAGAACGGCAAGAAAGGGGAAGAAAAGAGAAAGGGGAGGGGGGCGGCAGGGCCGGGGGGGCCTGTACGCAAGGCACATGCCACTCCCAGAAACTTGATGCCCCAGGGTGGTTGTGAGTGAGTTATTCAGAAACGGCCGAGAGCCTGAGCACCAATGGCCACATACGTTCACAAGGGAAGAGGATACACATTCGCGTTGGCACGCGGGGGCGCATCCTCGATGAGCCCTAACAGCGGCGCGATAGCAGGGGAAGAGCGAGGCAAAGGCGATTCCCATTTCATGGGCGGCGGTGCCAGGGGCTCTCCCAGGAACTTGATGCCCCCCCTCACTGCGAATGGAATGATTCATCGCGAAACCGATGGGGGAGATAGGAGCCCGAGATGCGAGGAGGATGCCAGGCCCCACCACCCCGGACACGGCCAGCGTCGGGGGGCCCGACCGCCTCTTCACCTCGCCCCGACCTTCCATTTCCACTACGACACCGCCACCACTGCACGCCGCTGGCACACGCGCAGAGGCCGAGAGGCGCTGCCTCGAAGCCCCGCAGGGTCCTCCGCGGCTGGGCCCCCCCCCCTCCAGGACCCCCGCCACCGCCCGTGGCAGGACCCTCTGGAGGAGAGGGGTTCGAGGGCGCCCTGAAGACACGCGGGGAGATGGCCCACGGGCCTCTCCTCAGCCCCCCCACAGGCCCGACCCCGCTCCCACCAAGGAAGCCCTCGCCCACCGAAGCGGCCGCAGGGGTTCCCGGGGAAGGAGCGCGGAGTCGGGGAGGGGGCGGGGCAGGGGGCGGGGGTGGCTGCCGTCTGCTGGCGGGGCCGTTCCCGCAAGCCGTCGGTGTCCAGAGCCGTCTTGCCCACTGCTCGCCGCGCCCGCTCGTGGCTGACTCGCCCCTGACCGCTCGTGGCCGGGCTGGCGGGGGGGAGGGGGGGGGGGCCGCCGCCGCGCGTCTTCTCCGCTCGTCGTGCGGTACCCCTGGCCGTACTCGGTCTTTCCGTACCCCTTTCAAAGGGGTACGGAAAGACTGAGTTCGGCATTGGACAAACCTCCCTTTAGTAAACCTCCCCTTAGTGAAAACGGCCTGGGACCGAAACCGACGGACCTGCACCCGCAAAAACGACGGCCGCGACGCCCTCCCGCGACCCGAAAACAGCCCATTCCACTGTCGACGTGTCTGGGGAGGAGGTCCGTCCAACCCCGACGAGTACGACAGGGGTGCGGAAAGACCGAGTGCGACGCCACACCACAAGTGCCATCCAAAACCGGCAGCGCCCGCAGGTGGGCAGGCGGCCCCCGGCCTCCAACGGACACCGTCCGCGGCGGCGCGGACCGAAGACGGCCCATTCCACCATCGACGTGTCTGGGGAGGAGGCCCGCCCAACCCCGACGAGTACGACAGGGGTGCGGAAAGACCGAGTGCGGTGCCGCACCACAAGTGCCAGCCAAAACCGGCAGCGCCCCGCAGGCGGGCAGGCGGCCCCCGGCCTCCAGCGGATACCGCCCAAAGGCGGCGCGGGCACGGCGAGCCCCTGCCCGGCAGGAGCAGGGCCTGCCAGCGGGCACCGTGCCCGACCTCTCCGCGCCCACCGGGGGCGTCCAAGAGGGGGGGAGGAGGAGGAGGAGGAGGAGGAGGAGGAGGAGGAGGAGGAGGAGGAGGAGGAGGAGGAGGAGGAGGAGGAGAAAAAGGAGGAGGAGGAGGAGGAGGAGGCGTCCAAGGGGGGGGGGGTGCAGATCGTGGTCCGAGGCACGCGCGCGGCCCAGGGTGGGATGCGGGGGGCGCAGGGAAAGAAGGAGAGGCGCCGTGAAATCTGGAGAGGTACCATGGCCCTCGCCATGAGATCCACCCCCCTAATCTGAAGGGGCCCCAGGACACACAACGAAATACACACACAAACAAAAAGATCCCCCATAGGTTCCCATATTTTCTGGGGTGTTGTCTTCCCCCCCACTTCCCACATTTTCCCATCTGTTCCTGGGAGTCGCCGATTAATTGTGTCTGTGTGTTTCGTTCCCTCCTGAAAGAGGGGGGGCAGATCGTGGTCCGAGGCACGCGCGCGGCCCAGGGTGGGATGCTGGGGGCGCAGGGAAAGAAGGAGAGGCGCCGTGAAATCTGGGGAGGTACCGTCGCCCTCGCCATGAGATCCACCCCCCTAGGCATCACCCCCTTTTCAGACCCCCGACGCCATGATTCTTGTCAGGGCGTCGACTTCCCCACAGGTCTCGACCCATCTCCCGGCACTGGTCTCTCCTCCTGGGTCGTCTTGTTGACGGTCCCGAGGCCCAGCGAGGGTCCTGGGAGGCCGAGAATATTAAACGATTATATATTACATAATTGGCCATCGAGGTTTTGTCATGAATCGAAGGGCTCTGGGCTCGTGGTCGCCCCCGATCTCCGCACCCACTTCGATCGTCCGGAACGCTCGGCCGGACCCTTTTTGCGCCACTCGCCGGCCCGGGGTGCATCCGCGGCGCCGCGGCGCCTGCGGCGCAGCCGCTCGGCGCAGTGGGCCGCGGCCAACCTCGGCGGGGGAATGGGCGGGGGCATGCGTCGACCCCCCGTCGCCCACTCATCCCCGATACGGGCCAGATGGTCTGCCCCGCCAAAGAACGTGCGGAGTCGCTGTCGGGTGCACATCGCCGATTTGTCGGCGATGTAGCGCCGACTCCCGGTGGATGTTTCCCCCCTGGGCCTCCCTCAGGGGGCGGAGGCTGCAGCGGCCGTCCACCCGCTTGGCGGGCCTCCCTCCGAATGACCACGTCCGGGGGGGGGCGCCCACTCCTGGGATCGATGGCCTCCGACACAGCACCAGGAGAGGGCTCCCCGGGCCGCGTCCTACAAGCCCCAACAGGACCTCATCCCCCCCCCCCCTGGAAGAACCTCACGGGGGCCCCAGGAAGGCCCCGAGAGGGAGAGGGGGGCCAACTCAAATCGGGGCGGCGCAAGGCTCGGGTACCCTCGGGGGGGGTGGGTTGGCGATTCTGGCGGTCCCGAGGTCTGGCGAGGGCCCGCTTCGGCCGAACAGCACACCTGAAAGTCAACGCTTCCTCGCAGCACTCCGACGGTCAGGGTTCTGAGCCTACGATCCTCCTCCTCCTCCTCCTCCTCCTCCTCCTCCTCCTCCTCCTCCTCCTCCACCTCCTCCACCTCCTCCACCTCCTCCACCTCCTCCTCCTCCTCCCTCCTCCTCCTCCTCCCTCCTCCTCCTCCTCCTCCTCCTCCTCCTCCTCCTCCTCCTCCTCCTCCTCCTCCTCCTCCTCCTCCTCCTCCTCCTTCCCCCCTGAGGGCCTGGGGAGGTCCGCGCGGGCCTCCGACGTGTACATTTACGTCGTGCTCAGCCCTCGTCTCACAGCGCCCACCTGTCGAGCTGGAATCGGCGATGCATCGCCGACGGATCGGGGCAGGGCGAAATCCGCACGTTCCTGGGCTGGGCGGGGCTATCGGGCCCCTGTCGGCGCTGGGTGAACGACTTGGCGTCGACGCAACACCCCCTGAGCTTACCCCCCCCTACGGCGCGCACAGGGGGGTACGTGGGGGGAGGGGGTGATGAGATGAGAGCGGTCGCGAAGCGAGTCTATATAAATTAGGCCCTGGCCGCACGCTCAGCTTTGCTGAGCACTTTAGGCGCAAGATCTCACTCTAAACGACGGAGATACTCCTTGCCAGTGGAAGTGATGAGCTGGCATGGGCCAGCCAACTTCTTGCTCAACCTAGCTTGGCCTGTGGTCCCACAGCTGCCACAAAACCAAACAGACTGGGAATGATGATATCTCATCTTGTGGGAACCATGGACCGTACCCCCAGCGAGATATAAAGTCCGACCAGCAGGCAAATTAGAAATCTTATCAGTCGTTACTTCTAACGGGAAACAGGGAGTGGCCAACCAGGACCTTAAAGTGGCCTCAGTGGCGGAACCCTTACAAATCTGGCATTTTGTTCCAGTGCTATCTACCTGATGCGACGAACACAGAAGAGCCCGGGGTGGCGGAATGGCAGGAGCCTTTGGGCGCGCCCTCCTGGCCGTGCCTATAGCAGACCGAAGGGCAATTCGCAACAAACGCATGCGAACAAGCCGAGCATCGTCCTCAACCCGCAGCACCTGTGCCCTCTGGCACTCAGGGAGGCGGGCCTCGGCGGCAGCGATACCAGCCAAGGTGTCCACATACACATTGCCAGCAATCATCCAGGACGGGATCCCGAGCTCGACGATACACTGGGCCTCCACATGTGAGGGGACCTTCAAGACAACTATCTCACTGCAAGGTCTATGAACAAGATGCTTCTTAATAGCCCTCCAGATGTCGGCATTGGCGCCAGCAGGTTTTTCGCATGCTCGCGCCCACCACCCCCGACACACCTCCTCGTTGTCCGTCACATATATTGTTGGCCCCGAGGACCAACGGATAGAGACTTCCAACATATACAGCTCCCCTCGTGCAACCGTCTGTCGGTCACCAGGAAGAGGGCCCAACAAGTATGGAAGCTCACCGTTCACATCTAATGAGAACGCTCCAGCAGCCAACCCAACTCGACGAAGTCGTGGATCGTGTGTGTCTGCGCCTCCAGATGCATCACCAAACAGAACCAATGGGTTGTCCATTGTTCCTGAGCCGAAAGAGAAAGTGTCAGCTAGGTCTTGTCCCAGGCCTTTCCATCTCTCCACGTGTGTCGGCTCATCAACTCGTGTCCATTCAGCGGGAATCAGTCCACGGAACCAAAAACATTCTGCTAAATTGGCCTGAGTCACTGCACGGTGGCCCAGGTCTTGAGTCATGTCGAAAATGGGTGAGCCTTCATTGCATGAGCACTGCC